TTTTTTTTTTTTTTTTTTTTTTTTCAAATGGACCTTGTCAATGACTAGCTGATATTTGGGAAAACGAACTGTATTAAATATTTGGTCATACAATATTAAAGAAGAAGTCAAGATTTCCAATGTAACCTAAGATAAGTATTACTCCATCCGATCCATAATAAGTGATCATTTTACCTTTTTATTTTGGTTCAAAATAAGTGTTCATTAGTTACATAATCAAGAAGAAATTAATTTTATTTTTTCAAAATTTGCCCTTATTTACATATTTCAATGAATCAAAGTAACAATTAATTAAGGTTAATTTAGTGAATACATCTTTTTTTCTCTATGAGTTCGTATTTCCTTAATGGGTGTTGTTTAACCAAAAATAAATTTCTCGGTCAAAGCCAATATCTAGAAGAAATCAGGTTACTGATAACCAAGATTTACTTCACTTTCCCACAATTTTGGAAGAATAGCTTAAAGAATGGAAATGACTGACAAAGGAAAATAATAAATAAACTGATAATCACTCCTCAAAATTTAGGCTTAAAGCTTGGAGAATAAAACAAAGAATAATAGTGTGGATTTCAATAATAATCGTCACCCTTCCTTACAAAATGAGATTTCTGTCCTTATATAGGAGCATACAATTATAATGATTCCCATGCTTAATTTGAGCTCACTAATGGTATTAATTGTATAGATTGCCTGTTACCATATGTGACCATAACTATTACATTTATGACTAAAGATTCATTATAACTGTACCGATTCCCCTTCCTTATTTACTTTTGGTTCGTGTACCTTCCGTTTTTGCAGCCTTTATGCATTTCGTTCATGTTTCTTCTTTAACAGTTGTCAGGTTCGGTTCTTTTCCCTACGTAACCCCGCGAGTGTTTCTCCGTGTCTTTCCTGCATCCTTAACTCATCTAATTCAGAATGTCACTTGTCGTTACATCGATGCCCCACATGTCATGCCCCGTTAGCTTGCTGACCGTCCACATGTCATCTCTTTTTCCTCCAATACAGGTATGCCAAAGGTAAAATAGTCAATTATGTATTTAGGTAGAAGTGGTAAAATTGATACTCCCTCCGTTTCAAATTAGATGACGTACTTTCCTTTATAGTCTGTTCCAAAATAAATGACACATTTCTAAATTTGAAAATAATTTAATTTTAAACTTTTCATTTTACCCATTTTACACTTAATGAGAAGCTTTTATAACCATACAATGTCATGGCCCCACAAAGCTTTTACCCCTTAAGTTTTTAAAACCACAAGTTTCAATTTTTTTTTTCTTAAACTTTGTGCCGAGTCAAATTACCTCATCTAAATTGAAACGGAAGGAGTAATAAATATCGAGGATGAGAATGATATAGTTTTTGTTTACTTCAGAGTGCTAACTCAGTTCCTTTGTGCTATGAGGAAACATACTCCTCCTCCATCTTATAAAAAGATAAAAAGGAGGATCGAGTCAGTCAAAATTTAGCCAAATATTTAACTTACATAAATTATTCTTTGCTCCATTCCTTACACTACTCGTTTCTTCTTTGAATAGCCAACCACTTGCGTACAGTTTCATTGAATATTTTGACTAAATCAATAAATTAAGTGTCAGGCCTTGTTATAAATACCCGTCTTCACTCAATGGTTTCCACACACAAATAACTTTAAGGAAAATAGAAAGTTCATTAATTACATCCAAAGTATAAGAATATGGCAAAGTCACTAGTGAGCTACACAACCTTCCTTGCTCTCCTCTTGTGCTTCCTCCTAATTTCATCCAATGGTTGGTACTTCTTTCATCATCATTTTATTTATGAGTATTTTTTATGCCTTTGCACACTTAGACCCTACTTGCTATATAATATGAAATATTTATCGCTATAATCACTATATGTTGGTATCCAATTGAAATTATACATGGATCCGTATCTATTATTTTTTGAGAAATAATTCACATATTCCAATAAATGATTTTCACCAAAAAACAAACTTATGATAAGTTGTTGTTCCATGCAGAGATGCAAGCGGCAGAGGGCAAACTTTGTCGAAGGAAGAGCAAGACATTTTCTGGCTATTGCTTTATTAGTGAACACTGCGACGAAGAATGCAAAGAGAAAGAGGGGGCAAAGAGGGGTATGTGCATTAAGAAGAGCATCTTTAGACGTTATTGCTACTGCTACCACACGTGCAAATAAGCATCAAATGCTCTCAGAATTCTCGTTTTTGTGTATAATAAATAAAAAGTGGTGTGTTGTCTTGTGTGTGAAAGAATAAAAATACTACTAATTCACTAGAATTGTAGTTATTGTGAGAATATAGTACTAAAGTACGTTTGTATTATCATATTGTACGGTTTTTTTCTTTGGGTCCGTACTGTAATCTAAATAATTTATAGAAATTTGTTTTTGTTATTCTGATTGAGTTGACTTGGCTATTATGATTCGACAAACTTGTGATGGAAAATATTGAGCCATATAATACAATCTAAGGTCCTGTTTCCACAAAATCATAGATGCATCAGGGAAAGGGGAAAATTTAATTTATTTGACAAATCATGTAATAATCAGTTTGTCACGACTCAAATTAGGGGCCAACGACAGGCACTCAAAGGGCTTAGTGTCACGTCCTTAGTCTCTTTAACTAAGTACACGCGGTACTTAACAATTCGCTCACGATCTTGCACAACTTGCTCACTTTCCTGCTATACCAAGTCAGTCTTACTACATTAAAGATCGCTAAAAGAATGTTACAACATGGGAGAATTGCCAAAGGAAGCTTTTTGTATTAGAGAGAACTTGATTGTTTTGCTTGATAAGTTACAACTGAATAGCACACTTTATATACTAGTCTCATATGGGCTAGTTAATAAATAATATTTATTACACAAGGACTTATTATTTACAAGTAAGTCCCTTCTCTAGAATTCTCTATATAGCTAGAATCTTCTAAAGACTTTTCTAGCAAATCCATAGGGTTCTAGGGTCTTCCTAGGGAAACCTTTATATTTCTGTAGAACCTTCCTACAAGCGCTAGCCTCTTTCCTATGTAAGCTTTCCATATGGCAAAAATATATGCCAAGTGGCACCTATGTGGTATGATGATGTGGCGGGCCATGACACTCTCCCCCACCAAATTTTGTACCACCCTCGACACAAAGCATCGACACATACGCATGCACCTCACCTTGGCACCGCCGGAGATCTTAGTCCATTAGCCATGATGCTCTATGGAGCAGTTCTCCTTCCCATGTCACAACGTACTTGTCACCTTTTCTTTCCTCATTTGTACTTTTGATGGGTAGTAATGATGGCTTCGATCCTCCGCCTGTCGGATGCCTCTCCCCGCTCTTGGCCTGATTCTCCCCACGACTCGACCAAGTCTAGCAGCTTCTCAATCATCGGGTATGTGGTTCCACTCCCTATTTGGCTGCCCTCCGTGGTCCCATCCTTGCTAGCAAACATTACCCCTCTGGTGCATAGTCTAAGTCTGGTAGCTTGCCATCACTTTGTAACTCGCCATCCTCTTCAACTATGTCCGCCCAACTTTTCTTGTTGCCACAATGCTCCATTTGCATGGCGCCAAGATAGGCTTTGGAATCCCCTACTTTCGGCTTAGATTCCAAGTGCATCCCCCAAAGCAGGCGATCCCTCCGGTGTCACCCTTGTGTTATTGAGCAAAGTTCCCGAACATTGCTGTAAGATTCCCCAACTCTGGGCAATCACTTGCCCGATGATATCCTTTACAGAAGTAGCACCCTCCCGTAGGCACGCACTCGCTATTGATTTTCCGGCCCCTTACCGTTTCTCTTGGACCCCTGTCCATTATGGGATGGACCCTTGCCATTTTCCTTGTATACCTCGGCTATGCCTTTCCCATTGTCCTTGTCATGATCTCCCTCACCCCTCTCGACATTGCCTTCTTTGGACTTGGCAGGTTCCATCTTGAAGTCAACGAGTGATTCAGCTACTGCTATGGCCTCGTCCACGTTGGCTACTTGGTGTTTTCTTAACTCGTTCTTTATCCAATTTTGTAACCCATCCATGAAGTAGAAGAGGGCGGAATCTTTCTCAGACAACGACGGGATTTGCAACATTAAGGTAGTGAACTCGCGCACATACTCCCAAATGGTGGTCGTCTGTCTGAGCTCCCTTACCATCCGTCTAGCCTCATATACCATATTTATTGGGTAGAATTCCTTCTTCAAATCCTTCTTGAATTACTCCCATGTCTCAATCTTGCATAGCCCCTTCTCCATGTTGGCACACTTCCGATGTCACCACAGCGCGACAACCTCGGTCAGATACAATGAGGCGTTTGCGTACCTTCGCACTTCATCCTCCTCCTTGACTACCTCAAAGTACTTGTCCTTCCTCCAACGAAAGGCATTCACCACGCGTGCGTCCCATGCACCACCATATTCCTTTGGCTCAAGGACCTTCGTATTCGCCCATTGTGCAAGTACCACACCCTTGGTAGTCCCGACTATGGTCCCATACAAAGCTTCCTTCTAACAATCTCTTGTGTTCTTTCTAACATTCACTTAGCCATAAACTTTGCTCTAATACTGTCACGTCCTTAGTCTTTAACTAAGTACACATGCGATACTCGACAACCCGCTCACGATCTTGCATAACTTGCTCATTTTCTTGCTATGCCAAGTTAGTCTTACTACACTAAAGATTGCTAAAAGAATGTTAGAACATATGAGAATTGCCAAAGGAAGCTTTTGTATTAGAGAGAACTTGATTGTTTTGCTTGATGAGTTACAAATGAATAGCCCCCTTTATATACTAGTATCCTAGGGGCTAGTTAGTAAATAATATTTATTACACAAGGCCCTTATTATTTATAAGTAAGTCTCTTCTCTAGAATTTTCTACATAGCTAGAATCTTCTAAGGAATTTTCTAGCAAATTCATAGGGTTCTAGGGTCTACCGAGGGAAACCTC